GCCCTCTAAACCCACTTACCCGGAACACGACATTCCCCAAATGGAAACCGCCCGCTAAACGACAAAAGACATCGGTCTATACGCAGCCATCCTGGCTGCGAACATTCATTCTTAGGGTGCTATATGTTCGGGGAAGACTGGTAGTGCACGGCCCCAGCCTTGCACAAAGTTTTTGTCGCCACTTGGCAGCCTCCAAAGTTGTGCGGGTTTCAGGCTGACGCGGTTCCATGTTTTTTTTTTTTTAAAACACCAAACACAATTATTGTATTCCAAAAAGAATTCACCTGAGGCCGGGGACCTCACACTTCAACCCGGAGTTATCTCGGCAGCATCAGCTGGTTTACTTTTTTTTTAATAAAAAAAGGAGTATATTATATCATCACAAGCTGGGAAACGGGCCTCGCCACACCAATATCGAATTGCATTTTTTTCGGACAAGTGTCAGAAATTTTCGATAGTCCGCAATTCGATAGAATCCCCCCCCGTCGCCAAACAGCACTATCGAATAGGTGGAGTATCGAATGTTCTCCATTCCAGGTCCACTTGTGGCGGCGGCGCCTCTCCTTATGAATTGTTTGCAGAATTGCATCTGACGTTTTTTCGGACCACAAACGTTGCTGCCCTCTGGAAATTTGTTGCTCGACTATCGAAAAGGAAAAAACAAAAATTGACCCTCGTTAGTGTGATGGTTGTGGCGGTTACTGCGTGCGTGGGTTTTTTTTCAATAGTGTGGAAAGGAGGCTATCGAAAGAAGGCCATTGCAGGCGCTTAATAAATTTGCAAAGTGGAATGTAAAGGGCAGACTGGGAGACGCGTATGTCGTGCCGAAACATAAGGATGTGGGTAAGTGGCGGCCTATTTGTCCCTCGTTCTCTGAATGTGGTGTTAAAGCCAGCAAAAAGGTTTCGAAAGTTATTAATCAGATGGTTTGGGACTTGCCTCTTGGGTCGCACTTTAATTTGAAGAGTACGGATTTGCTCTAAAACGACATTCAACGGATTAATGGAGATTTGAGAGAAGGTGAGGTGTGGGTAACAGCGACATTTGACATTAAGGAAATGTTTTGTAACTTGTCGCATTCATCTATATTACATGCGGTTGAGTGGGTGACAAATTTTTGGTCATCAAAATGAATGAATGGTGTGTTGGTTAAAAAACTGGGTAAAGGGGCGAAATTGCAGAAAGGAAAGAAACAGGAGGGATGAGACTCTGTTGATTTTCTTATGGTTCGTGCCTGTGTAAGTTTTGACTTGCGCAATACCTACGTCAAAGTGGGTGGTGCCATTTTGCAGCAGGTCATTGGGATTCCGATGGGAAAACCATCCAGTCCTGCTCTCGCATGCTTGCTTTGCGCACATTCAGAGTTTGTTTTTCTGTCGTCAATAGGGAAGGAACGGAGATTGTTCCATGGGTTACGACTTGTAGATGATGTCTCTGTTTTTGCTAAGTATAAGCTTGATGAGGCAGGCTCAAAGGCTAAGGCGGAGTCCTTGATAAGACTTTTCGAAAAGAGTTGTGATAACAATCTGGTGTTGGAGTGTACCAGCCGTTCAAATTGTTGGGAATTCTTAGGATGTGTAATTAAGGTTTTTGGTTATCCGGTGGGGGTCAGGTGTGCTGCCGTGCACAAGAATCAGAGGGGGATACTGCAGGGCATTC